GTAGCCAGGATGGTCTCGATTTTCTGACCTCATGATCCTCCTGCCTTGGCCTCCCAAAGTGCTGGGATTACAGGCGTGAGCCACCGCGCCCAGCAGATTTCTGTGTGTTTTTTTGTTTGTTTATTTGTTTTGAGATGGAGTTTCGCTCTTGTTGCCCAGGTTGGAAAGGAATGGCAAGATCTCGGCTCACTGCAACCTCCGCCTCCCGGGTTCAAGCAATTCTCCTGCCTCAGCCTCCCAAGTAGCTGAGATTACAGGTGGCTGCCACCATGCCCAGCTAGTTTTTTGTATTTTTTAGCAGAGACGAAGTCTCACCATGTTGGTGAGGCTGGTCTCAAACTCCGGACCTCAGGTGATTCACCCGCCTCAGCCTCAGAAAGTGTTGGGATTACAGGCGTGAGCCACTGCGCCCGGCCCTTCTTCTTTTTTTTTTTGAGATAGGGTCTCACTCTGTCGCCCAGGTTGTAGTACGGTGGCATGATCTCAGCTCACTGCAACCTCTGCCTCACAAGTTCAAGCTATTCTTACGCCTCAGCCTCCCCAGTAGCTGGGATTACAGGCGTGCACCACCATGTCCGGTTAATTTTTGTATTTTTAGTAGAGATGGGCTTTCACCATGTTGGCCAGGCTGGTCTCGAACTCCTGTCCTCTAGTGATCCACCCATCCCAGCCTCCCAAAGTGCTGGGATTATAGGTGTGAGACACTGCGCCTGGCCCTTCTTTTTCTTCATTTACATTTTGTTTTGTTTTGTTTTGTTTTGTTTTGAGATAGAGTCTTACCCTGTCGTCCAGGTTGTAGTGCGGTGGCACGATCTCAGCTCACTGCAACCTCTGCCTCACAGGTTCAAGGGATTCTCACGCCTCAGCCTCCCCAGTAGCTGGGATTACAGGCATGCACCACCATGTCCAGTTAATTTTTGTATTTTTAGTAGAGATGGGGTTTCGCCATGTTGGCCAGGCTGGTCTGGAACTCCTGGCCTCAAGTGATCCACCCATCCCGGCCTCCCAAAGTGCTGGAATTACAGGTGTGAGCCACCGCACCTGGCCTTCCTGTGACAGATTTCTATGCCAAGTTTCTCCCAAGAAACCAAGGCTGGTGCCTCTGAAGGCAGCCTTCAAGGAGGGCATGACTTCCCCATTCTGATGCCCCCCCTGGCAGGCAGGAGACAATGGATGGCAGGGACCCCACGTCCGGGGGACTGAACTTTCTTCCCCGCTCCATTTTCTGCAGGGGGCAGTAACGGCCATGACCAAAGCCTTGGCCCTGGATGAAAGTCCACATGGTGTCCGAGTGAACTGGTGAGCTGCTCTGAGCAGGCCGAGAGCCTTGTGGGGGAACTGGGGTGACTGGGAGTGATCCCAAGTGATTCGAGACAGATTTCTTTGATCCCCTCTTTCCCTTCCCCCAGTATCTCCCCAGGAAACATCTGGACCCCACTGTGGGAGGAGCTGGCAGCCTTAACACCAGACCCTCGGGCCACAATCCTAGAGGGCATGCTGGCCCAGGTAGGAGTGGGGTTCAGATCCAGGTGGTAGAAGGTGGCTTGGGGGTGGGGGACATGGCGATCAAATGGGGCTTCTCTTGACCTCCTTCCCCCCTCTTTTCTCCCCAGCCACTGGGCCGCATGGGCCAGCCCGCTGAGGTCGGGGCTGCGGCAGTGTTCCTGGCCTCCGAAGCCAACTTCTGCACGGGCATCGAACTGCTCGTGACGGGGGGTGCAGAGCTGGGGTACGGGCGCAAGGCCAGTCAGAGCACCCCCGTGGACGCCCCCGATATTCCCTTCTGATTTCTCTCATTTCTATTTGGGGCCCCCTTCCTAGGACTCTCCCACCCCAAACTCCAACCTGTATCAGATGCAGCCCCCAAGCCCTTAGACTCTAAGCCCACTTAGGAAGGTACCAGGTCACCTGCAGGTTCCCATAAAAGCAATTTGCAGCCAGAAGGAGGAAGACATCGTTATATTTATTTCCCACCCTTTAGACGAGTTCTTCTGCCCACTTAGCCCCTGCACCCCAGACCCACAAGTTGCCTCTACCCTGAAGGACTGCAGCTCCCCCTGCCCCCCAACGCCAGGCCTTGCAGCAAGCAGGTGCCTGATGTTTGCTAGCCCTGTCGCTGTCGCCAGGGGCTCCTGGGAAAGGTAGAGCGGTTTGGCTTCACCAGCGCGCTAAAGGCCCGCAGGGGAGAGTAAATTAAGCGCAGTTAGGAGGTAAAGGAGGGGGAGGCACAAAAGGCCCTCCTCCTTATTCTTGGCCCTTAGGGAAAAGGAGTCTTCCTCTCGGTGCCTGGGGAATAGGAAGGTGGCTGGCAAGAAAAGTCCAGAGGGAAGAGAAAGTGGGGGGTTGAGACATCTGGATCAGAGGGAGAAGGGCCTGAAACTCCTGGGTTTTGGGTCCGCAGGGCACTGGGGTATGCAGACTCCCCAGCTGGACCCAGGAGGGGCGCAGGGCTCGGGCGCGCTGGCGTCCCGCAGGTGAGGGGTGGAGTTGCAGGGCTGCTGCGGATTGGCTGTGGCGGGGGGGCGTGTGCGCCAACCGCTGATTGGCCGCGGCGGGGGCGGGAGCTGTCCGTGGGCGCCGCCCCTACAGCTCGGGGCTGGCGGTTGGGCAGCAGGACCCGGGTGGAGCGCAGAAAAACAGGGCGAGGCCCTGCGGGGGAAGGGTCCCGCGGTTTGGCTGTTCGGGCCTGTGGCTGTTGGGGTGGCAGGACAGTGACCCGGGGACAAGACTTAGGGGCACTATGGGGGTAGAATTTGGCGACAGAGTGTCCCAGGGTA